GTAGCTGACACTTGTATATTATTCATCATCATTCATAAAACTAAGAAATGTGCAGGCAATGGAAATGGGGCAAGAACTCTTGGAAGCACAGAAAACAGAGTCAATGCTTCAGAGCAAGGTGGCTTAGCCTTTTCTCAGAGCTCTGCTCTCATTTCTTGCCTTACATTTGGAGGGCACTACACTAGTTAGTAATGCAGAGCCTGATGCCTGTGTCCATGTTATTTCAGCTGCTCGACCTCGAGAAGAAGCTGCAGGAGATGACAAAACTCAAAGACGCAAGCACGATGCCTGACCCAAAACCTCAAGACGCTAGTAGCACGATGATGCCTGAACCAAAGCCTCAAGGCACTAGTAGCACGACGATGCCTGAACCCTCAAACAATAATCTAGTCACAAGGGTTCTTCCTGCCACCCCTGTGGAGACAAACGTGGTGCCGGCTTGTTGTGCGAGGGAGGAGGCGATGAGCGAGAAGGCGCAGCAGCACCGCCGCATCCTGAGGAGCTCCGACTCGGCCAACAAGCGCTCCCTGTTTGCCCCGGAGGCGGCCGTCGTGAACGAGAGGAAGAGGAAAGGGGAGGAGAGCCACCCTCGTGCGGGTGGCGGTGGCGGTGGCGGTGGCAGGCAGAACGCCGGGCGGAAGAGGAGCAGCATGCAGGGTGAGGTCGAGAACCAGCTCCCTGCTGCCGCCGCCGCCGTGGCGAGGAAGAGGAGCCTGCAGGGCGGCGAGGTGAGGTCGAAGAGGGCGTCGATCCCGGCGAGGCCTTGGACGTCGGCGGCTGCTGCTGCGCAGAAGGTGGTGGTGGCTCCTGGTTCCAGGATGACCAGGCAGCAGCAGCAGCAGGCGGCGGCGAGCAGCAACAAGACCAAGGGGTGGGTGAGGTGAGGTAGGCTGCGAGCGTTTAGGTGCGTGTGTTGTAGTAGATGAGATGAGATGAGATGAGATGAGATGAGACGGGACGGGGACGGGACGCCATTGCATTTGCATTGCTCTAGTGATGACCGACTTGTGTGTAACTTTGTTTGTTTGTAGTATTTGTACTTTATACTAGTTGGTACGTACTGCAGAGTTGCAGTGAATGAATGAATGAATGAATCACAACCTGTGTGTTGTTGTTGTTGTTGTTGTTGTTGTTGTTATACTAGTTTTCATAAGTTGGTTCTTTTTTTTTTTGAGGTAATTGTAAGTTGGTTCAATGGTGGGGGTCCCTCATCATCTTAACACATAGCTCTGCCTCAATTATAATTACTCTATTGTCTCTGCATGGATTCATGAATTTACCACTCTATACCAATTTTGTTGGTTACACCATGGACATGCGCTGTTTTGAGCTGGATATCGTTACAGCATAAACATTTTGAAAAAGGACCTTAAGAATATAAAATTGTCAGAACTAAAATGATTTTTTTATAAAATTTGTAAACGCTCATTTGAAGTAGTGTTATAAATAATGTTTAGAGGGGCCATTGATTTGCTAAATAAAGGCCCAAGGTTGGAAGGCCCACTATCACATCACGTGGTGGGCTGGGCGTGTTATGTGCTGACGTTCTGCATGCAGTCCTCCTACCCTAACTAGTTCCCCACCAGAGCACACCCGCCGCCGATGCCGCCGCTAGCTCGCCGCCGTCCGCCTCCTTCCCTGTGGGCAGGCAGCACCGCAGCAGTGTTGAGTCCAGCACCAGCACCAGAAGCAGAACCTTCCCTCTGTCGGTGGTCCGTTCGTCCGTTGAGGAGGGCAAGAATGAAGGGCGGTAGGAAGAACCTGTGGCGCGCGTGCGGGGAGGGCACCGCGGTGACGCTGGCGGAGGGCGAGAGCATCATGCAGGTCGTCACGCTACGCGGCTCAAACCTCATCGAGGTACCTTCTTACCTTCTTTCCCTCTCTCTTAAAAATTGCTTCTTGCTTTTCACTCACTCTGCCGCCGTGCTGGTTTTAGGTGACCGACGGCGAGGGCGTCAAGTCTCACAAGAGCTTCTGGATCAAGAACGGTCAGTCAGTTGATGATGATGCTCCTTTTGTTTGCCACTAACTTACACCTGATGATGATGATGATGATGAATGAATGAATGAATGAATGAATGAATGAGTGAATGTGCAGGGAATTTCGTGGTTCTGGATGCTATTGGCAGGGACGAGGCTCTCGAATCTGGAAGCAAGATAGCCTGTGTCGTCTCACGCGTCCTCTTTCACGACCAGGTTCGCGCCCTCGAGAAATCCGGCCAATGGTCACTCTCTGCTCTGCTGCTCCCTCAATGAATATTTACTGCACTAACTACTTGTTGACAAAGTAAACATTAGCTAGTTACTACTTACTTGGAGTGGATTTATGTCCCCTAAATGCAAGTATGCAAATTCTAGGACAAGTTTGTATGTACTGGAGACCTGTCCTAGTCCTAGCAATATATCCTACTTACCAAGCTGCAGTATAGGCTTGTATGTAGTGTGTTCTACTTCTATCACCCAGGCCAAGATGTACAATAATAATTTTCCAATTCTAGGCACAACTCAAGACTTCCTTTTGTCGCGATAGAATTTAATTTGTAAGAATACACCCTCCTAGCCTAGTCCTGGCAATATGTCTAAATTTCTTGGGTTTATGATAGCTGTCTGTTACTCCCTCCGTCCCATAATATAACATCATTTTGCAAGCTATGTTAGGTTGCAAAATGGTCTTATGTTATGGGACGGAGGGAGTACTTAACTATATGTCTGCTGTGGTTGCTTGTAATCTGATATTATGACCTACTTCCCAGTTTGTGGTAGTTTGTCTGGCTGTTTTAGTAATAGTACCTCTGTCCCATATTAACTGACGCTCAAATGAATGTATCTAGACGCATTTCAGTGCTAGATACATCTGTTCGAGCATCAATTAATATGCGACGGAGGGACTATAATGTATGCATACGATGGCTTGGAAACACTATAGTTGTTTAACCTTCCAATTTTCTAAAAAATCGGATCAAATTCACTTTCCATGTGATATGCTGGTAGGTGGTAGCCAGTGCTGCATTTCAACAGCCTAAATGGTGTGGTAAAAACAAAATATTAGGGCAAACAGCCTAAATGGTTTGATTCTGGTTTTGCATGCTCTGATGGAACATGGAAATGATACCGAGCACTGATACTATATGAAAATGTTGATGTGATATAAGTTGATGGCAAAATTCTAATACTCCATTGTACTAAATAAGCGACAATTAATGTGGATCGGAGGGAGTAATGAAGATCCTAAAATATTTCCAGAAGGTCTTGTAATAATAATGTGCCAGTTTGTTGGTTTTCGTACGAGCTCTGCATCAGTAGTCTATCTACTTGATAAAATCAGGATTGTTAGCTTGTTACTGATTCACTCATCTTTCTTATGCCAGGCCGGCTATCTTCAAGTCAAGTCCCAATGGGTGGGCGACAGGGCCACAAGGAACGACATCACAGGCTGAGGAAGAGCACAACTCTGATGAAGACGACGATGATCATATGCCGCCACTTGAGGCAAACATGAACAAAAAATAGACCGTTTGACGTGCATTCCGATACAGAAAGTGACTCTGATTCTTGAACTGGTAGACGACTTGGGAATAGTCATCATCCTATGGTTACCGTCCACCTAATGTATTTATGCTTGTCGAATTTGGGCATGACATCATAAACTTACGGCCCAATCTGTCAAAGATATAGTAGTCAGTGCGTGCGTTTTGTCGACATTAAGTGGCAGGGCATGTGGAGGCCTGTCACCTGTAGTGTAATATATGAAGAAAACAAGAATGTTGCACCTAGCTTATTGTGGTTGTGGATGTTATTGTGCAAGTCTGCTTGCTTTCCACCTTGAAAGTGGATTGAAAAGGACCCAGCAAGCTAGCTTTGCTTTGCTTTGCCCTGCCTAGTTAATTCCAGTTGTACTAGGTCTCAAGATGGTGCCACAACTGCACAAGAAACAAATTCACCGATTTTGACAATTCAAGTCACACAAATTGATATGATTTACTCCTACTGATGAACAACTCTTGCCATATGAGAGCCTCAACAAATTAAGCTACCTACCTTTAGAGGAGAGGAGCATAATATATATATATATATATATATATATATATATATATATATATATATATACCAAACATATATGGGATTTTATATATATATATAGTTACTATGAGGTCCAGCGTTTAATCATTGAAAGGTTAAAATATTTAAACTTAAAAGTTAGCGCAGGTAAAGTAATTAATACTAAGGAAAATCTAAATATAAGGTGTAGAGTAAATCCTTCTGAAGAGCATATCTGGCATTCATCTCATAGCCAGTTAAATACGGTTGTTGATTTGATATATAACTTTTACATATCTTGGGGAAAAAGACAAGATAATTTAGACCAAAAATTTGAAAGTTTATTCAAAGAATACCAAAAGCTTGCTGATAAGTATTCAGGTTTGAATAATAAAATTGATCTAGCTTTACATAAGCTAGAGGAAGCAAAAGCAAGACAGAATACAGTTTCCAAGAATAACGATTATATTAAAGAAGAAGTGTTATCAATAGGCCGTTACTTAAGTAAAGGCAAAGAGTCACTCACACGCACTGATTCAAGACAAGATATACTTGAAATAAAAAAGTTGGTGCAAGAGGTTAAAACCTTGATTATCTCATAATTATATGACCGAATATACTCAAGCATTAAACGAAGTAGCTAAATACCTGTCACCTCCTGTCGGGTTTTCAGACCACGACTCTCCAAAAGAAGATTCCAAAGTAATAATAAGACAAAATAACACAATCATCCAACTATTAATTCAAGTATTAGATAAGCTAAAAAGTGTTCAAAAAAATTCCAAAGTAATCCAAACTATTACATTAAAAAATTCCAAACTATTAATTCCAAAGTAATCCTCCTGTAGTAATGGCCCCACATGACAATTACATTAAAAAAATTGAATGTCATGCTTATTCAGTAGGTGAGCTGACAATTCATTGCATGATTGCAACTCAAGAGGTGATTGCACTTGACATTTTCATTCAACTACACCAACATGACACTGTTGAAAGTGAAGTTGTACCTGACCACCCTGTTCTGCATAGAAGCTTGTGCTTTCCAAAACAAGACCAAAATCTTCATCACCAGATGCAGAGGCTATGAACTCTGAGCCAGTATAGATAGCTTTCACCACACTGCTATGTACCTGCAAAAAAAAATTTAGGTACATCAGCCATAATCAATGTACAAGTGTTTAACCACAAGGCAAAATATGAACAGTGCAAGAACAATCAAAGCTAGTAGCCAGGTAAATTCAGAACTTGAAGGTGATTCGAAGAGGGGGATCGCTTTGTAAATTTTTGGGCCAAAGTAGAATGAAATTCTACAAAATCCCAAACAGGCACTGAATATTGGAAGGAACTGTGCTTAATAGCCAAACCATAAATAAATAATCTAACCTCGTGTTGGAATTTCGAGCTATCATTTGTGCTGGCAAGCCCCTGATTGCGCAGCTGCGATGTAGCATTAGCATCCAGGACAATAGATTTGCCGCCAGCCTGCAAGAAAAACATATATAACAAAATCAGAAATAAGTATGATATATAAACCGTAACAGACAAAAGTTGCCCAATCAATTGAGTATCAGTGGCATATAAGAGATGCTTAGTTTAGTTAATTACAACATTATTAAACAACAAAGAGCAGGAATATTACTTGGTATCATAAAAGACCACAAGTGAAGAATTAGGTTATATTTAAGAAGAAATAAATACAACCTTGTAGCGAGCATTCCTAGCCTTTTGCCTTGCTTCTTCCATAGAAACATTAAAACCCTCCATGTCAACAGATAGCCCAAAGTCAACTGCCATGACCTATGAGATAGGAAACAACGACGATACCAAGAAAAACAGACAATAAAAGCTTTAACAACAGCATAAACATGAAAATATAGCACTGTCAAATTAATTTGATAAGATTTACTGACAAAAACATGAAGAACAAACCTCCGTCAAATCAATTGGATAGCCATATGTGTCCCACAGAACAAATGCATCCTGAAAGTACAAATAACAGTTGCAATACATGAAAGATAGCAATATAAACTTGAAAAGTTCAGCAGGATGTAACAGAACATTGATAAACATAACCGAAGTATGATCTAAGAGACATGTTTCTATGCAGTAAACTCCCATTCTTAACATAAGGACGAGGAAAAAAATTATTCCACATTACTGTAGAGAATATGATCAAGTTTAGCAAATAGTCAAATTCCTTAGTTTTTGACATGTTTCTCGAATACGAAGGAATGAATAGAAATTAGAACGACACAATAGAGAATATGATCAAGTTAACCAGATAGTGCCTACACAATATTTAAAACGACATCTGAGAATAACTACCGACAACGTATCCGACAGATATCCAAGTTCTGGTTCCTAATGCCATTGTTAAGAGGTTTGGTCAGTTTGTAACTATCCAAACCATTTTCACCCCTACCAGCAAACCATTTTCATGACAGGATAGTTAGATTCTCAGGCGTTGTTCTTAAGGCGGTAAGGCGACCTAAGGTGAGCACCCACTGCCCTGAAAGCTAAGCACTTAAGGTTGGCAAACTGCAATGCACTGTCAGGGCGCCTTGCCACCTAAGTGTCCAAGGTAGGAAGCCTTAAAAATAATGCTTCGAGGACTACTGGAGAGTGAGGAAAGGCTAGAGATATTCAGATTAATCTTCACTTAATGAAAATGGATGACAACATCTTATTAATCATGATACCTTGTCTCTAACTTCATAATTTATATCATCTCCTAACTACTTTCAGTTGCCAATGGACATCAACATGAGATAACACAACATATGCTTAGACAACAAACGAACTAAAGTCTGCTTAGGTGCAAACATCTTCTAGTGAAAACAAAATAAATCAAGTAATACGGTGGTAATTCAAAACCAAAGCACTTGCCTGGCTACTAAGTACTGCCCCACCATTCTCCTTGACAGCATCTGCAGCTTTCTTAAATCTCTCATATCTCTGAAAATTACAACTGCACAATCAGTTAACCACCTGAACAGCCACAAGAACGGACAATACATATTATGATGGTTCTAAGAAAAAAAACGGTCAACTAAACTACGACTGTAAGCCTTCTTAGTCTCTGTTGCTATAATGAAACGCAATAGCAAGGCACCTAGTAGGAACCAACTAATGTGGAAACATAATATAAGCATGATAAACAGAATCATGCCCATGTGGAAACCAAATAAATTGGATTACTAATGGTCATTTCATAGAAAAGATGAGAACAATTTATCATGTATGCTAATTATTGTGATTGAACTAAGCTGATGTAAACCAAGATTGAAACCATCACCCTGGATGTGTTCCTTAATGTGTTGCCTCAAAACAAGACACTACCTGGTTACTCAGCACAGCACGCTAACATATTATATATATAAAGCCTTTAGCAGTATCTCACGAGCAAAACAGCGGTACAGAATATACAAGGTATAAACTGGCCCAGAGCCTCCGGCAACAACATAAATTTAGGTTATCTGATAACAAACTAGCTAAATTACTTTGAGATTAACACATGTTTACAAGGATAAAACAATTTAGGTTATCTGATAACAAACTAGCTAAATTACTTTGAGACTAACACATGTTTACAAGGATAAAACACTGCCTAAGAGTGTGCAAACACTCGGATTTGATTGCAATGAAATTACTTCAACAAACATCACTTGGGCCAAATTGATGTCACTGATATGCAAATACTCCTGGCAACCAATATTACCTTCGCTAGAGTGTTCTCAAAGCTTGCCTCTTCTTCTTTAATTATATCTTTAATCTTCTTTTCATTGTCCTTCAGCTCAGGAAACACATCACCCATCACTCGGACAAAAACATCTACAAGGCTGTACAAGAAAGATACAAAACAATGGCATATCAAATACTAGCTTTAAGAACATAGTTTAAATTAGCTAGAATCCTGTGTGGCATAGTTTCTTTTCTTCTTGTCATATGACATCTCTACAGTCATCCTCATAAGCCTTACATTGCCTGTTTAGCATCCCGAGTAAACAAAAGGCTATGCAAAGTATACCATTAACTAAAAAGTACAGAATACAACAGATGCAGGTTACAGTTCTTACGAGCTAAAAAATCCTTGCTTTGCCATCAATTTTTGATGACCAAAGTGAACAGCACGTCTAAGTATACGCCTTAGAACATACTCTCTTCCCTCATTTCCTACAGCAAAATTCCTATTAGAACAAAGAAACATCATTGTATAACACAAAACAAAGCCCTGAAACATTGTAAAAATACTGCTAAACAACATTCCTCAGTAGGGGCCCATCTGAAATCTAAAAAAAATGGTCTGCAATGAACTAAACCCACATAAATTTAGCATCTATGACTTCATATTTACATGAAGGGCATTAATGCATTTCTTCTTAAAACAGGAAATGCAACCCAGGTCCCCAAACTAGTGATTTTGACACATGGATGCCTAAACTAAAATTAATCAGTCAGGTTCAAAACAACTAGCCTCCGTAGAGTGACTAGTCATTTTGGCTGAAGATGGGCGGTACAGTGATCTATCTTTTTTTTCATTCAAATTCTTCAAAATTGGAAATAACAAACAATTGGTGACTTTATTATGCCCATAAACTTCATTTTATTCCAGTGCCACATCCATATCTTGAATAAAAATTATCTTACATATGTAAGAGAAAATTTGGGAGCATGATAAATTTCAAATGAACTTATATTTGAGGAACCAAAATAACACAAGCGCACAAGCTTATTATTCTCACTTGTGGACATATATGAGATAGAGCTACTTAAACATCCTATTGTGTAGGATGTAATGCAGCAAGCAACTTAACAAGGCATTTAGATGTACTATTATTATTATCCATCTGTTTACACAACTAAATAATACTTATATGGATGGCAATCGTTTTAAATAATGTGTCCCCAACGAAAACAGTATGAGCTCACCAGGTTGAGAACCATCAGCAATAGCAAAAGAAAGGGTTCTTATGTGATCTGCAACAACCCTATATGCCATATCAACTTTCCCAACATCATCGGATCCTACTTTACCAGAGTATGGTTGAATTCCAGCGCCTGCCAGCTGCATTCATAATGCATAACGGATTGACAATGAATATCATTTACTTTAGGCAACAATTTATTGCTTCAGCAAAATAATCTAGTCACAACTCACAAGCACAAAAGAAGCTGCAAGTGCGCATCTGGGAAAAATACCTTGTGGATGGCATCAAATAACGGCATGAATACATCTGTGTCGTAATTGCTCATTTTATTCTGAAGGGTAGAAGTTAAACGCTCAAAGCCCATTCCAGTGTCAACGTGTTTTGCTGGCAAGGATCTCAAAGTAGCGTCTGATTCCCTGTTGAACTGGGTATTAAAATAGCCAAATGTCAGTGCATAGTAGAACAGATAAAAAGCAAATAGGAGTGTTGCACGCACAAAACAGAGTAACTGGCATGTTAACCTGAATAAACACAAGATTCCATATCTCAATACATGTAGGGTCATCATTATTGACTAATGAGGCTGCGTCACGGTTGCCAATACGGTCAAAATGAATCTCTGTGCATCGGCCGCAAGGACCTGTGTCGCCCATCTCCCAAAAGTTATCCTGCTCAAAGAATGCATTGTTGTCATACTCTTCTTTAATAGGGACATTCAGACAGCAGTATAAGCCCGGCAGAAACGAAGATACAACATAATGCCCAAAACAGCCAGGAACTTGACCAACAAAGCAAGCAGAATAGTACCTTGCAACCGAAAGGCAGAACTCTTTCATTCGGTAAATACTTCAACCATATGTCTTTCGACTCGGTGTCAGGAACAAGACCAGCTTTCTCATCACCACCAAAGTATGTTGCATAAATCCTATCAGTGGGCAATTTGTAGACCTGCACAAACATTACGTACATACATATGAAATAGCAATTCTTATTTCTGCTTGTGGGTTCATCAGGGAAGAAGATTGGTTGATAGGTAACATACCTGTGTGAGTAGTTGTCATGCGTATGCGATGGCCCCGTCCTTGAAGTAGTCCCTGAAGGACCAGTTGCCGAGCATCTCGAAGAAGGTGTGGTGGTAGGTGTCCTTGCCGATGGTGTCTGTCCGGCATTTTCCGATTTCTTTTCTTTTCTTTTCTTTTTTTTTCTGGGAGGAGAAGAAGAAGCGAGGACCCCCGGTGGAGGAATAAACAATTTGGGACCACTACTGCACTGCACATGGACGGTCGGTCCCCAGCCCAGCCCAGCCCACTCCACTCCACGCGTCGGCCGAGGGCCTGCTGTTAAACAAACACGGAATGCCGACGACGCTGGTCCGCTCCGCCTCCACACCAGCACAGCACGAATCCTCTGTGCTCGCCCGGTGACCTGTACACTCATCTGATGATGCCCACGCGGCAAAGCATTTTTTTTAGCACAGCACAATCGTAGCCGCTCCTCCCTATGAGCGGCAGCGCACACACGTACACTCTACCCCTATGAGCATCTCCGAGAGACTATGTCGGCATAGCATCTACATATTTTACAAAGTCATCACAGGCAGACGAGAACGTCTCCTCCCTTGAAGGAACATCGCTGGAAGCCCGAAATAATTTTAGAAATAATGCAAGCACCAATGTTAAGTCTAGGACTTGAACCACGACGAGTTGACGATACCACTGTCCTTCTAAGGGCATCTCCAGCCGCGCCCCGGGAAGGCCTCCCCAGGCGTTTTTCTTGCGCCGGCGCCGAAAAATCGGCCCAATCGCGCCCCCAGGAGCCCGATTTTCGCCGGCCTGGGCAGAAAACAGCGCTGGCGGACCCAGGCCG